TGAATGATCGAGAAAATGGAGATATACTTATATATATTATGGTTTCAAAATGTTTGCAAAAGGTTTTAATTCCTGGGATCTATGTGAGTAGAGAGTGCACAACTGTACCTTGCAGCCGAGGGAGAGATCCTCTCTTATCGAGTAGTGTTTGATCATCAAGGGCTGAGAGATTAAGTTTAAGACCATTGAGAGTTATACCAGATGGGCTAACCTTGCATCTGCCCATAGTTCTTGGGCCTTCATAAGATGGCTGGACCCAATGACCATTTAGTGTAAATGTTGGGACCATTAAGAGCCCATGGTGATGGACTCAGGGGTTCACTATATTTAGTAGTGAATTCAGATAGGCCTTGTAACAGAGGCTAAGCTGAACCCATGTGGCTGATGTGTAGATCAATTATAGGGTCCCATGCCATACAAAGAGATCCAAGCTAGCCAGCATTAAAAGGAAGTGAGCCAGAAAGCTTAATGGGCCTAAAAGCCGATTTCAAATTGGGTTAATTGGATGAATTAAATAGGGGCAAATCTGGGTTTGGATCAGCTGATAAGGATAAGAGGATAATTATTATCCACTTAAAGAGTCCAGATCCAAATAAGTATTTGGATCAGGAAACTCCTAATTTGATTAGGAATAAGCTGATTTTGAACTATAGATAAGATAAGGGATTATCCCTATCACTTAAAGAGTTCATATCCAAAATAAAGATTTGGATCAGGAAACTCCTAACCACATTAGGAGGTTGTATCTTTAAGGTTATAAATAGAGAGCATGGCATACCTGAAAAAGGTACCAAAAACAACACAAAGAGAAGACAACTCAGTTAGATTGATCTTGCCTTCAGTTCTTTTTCTTCCTACTCTTGTCGCCCTACCCTGTTCGATCTCTAGTTCTTGGATCTGATCAAGATTTGATCTTGATATTGTTTCTCGCTGGAAGAAACAATTTTGAAGTTGTGCTCACTACCCCATTCGATTCTTGCTGAAGAATCACAAGTTCTTGGTGAAGAACTACCTATTGATCCTACGTCATCCTAAGCTGTGTAATATTCAATGGAGGGAGGATTTATTACAGTCTTTGGGTGTGAACACCTACTTCGAGAGGAGCTTTTTGCGTGGATTCCGTATCAGGTATATCCCTCCCTAATCTTGGTTTTAGATTTGGTCTAGTTTGGTTAAAAGAACAAACCTTGAAAGTGCAGTTTTCTAAATTGGGAATAGGATTCCCGGATGGGAGTAATGAAATTTTTGAAAATTTTCCCTACCTTCCTACCATGTTCGGACATCCATATGATGGATCTCCCATCCCTTCAGGTTCTTTTCCCTTTGCAAGTTCCATTCAAGCTCTTGTTGAACTCTACCAAGTTATTTTCCCTTGGTAAAGATTCTATTATGTTGTTGTGGTTCATACTACCATTTTCTTTGGTAGTTTCCTAATAGACATTTGCGTTAGATGTTTTCCTTCGGCTTTGATGCTAGTTCACCATTTCAAATAGTTTTATCTTATGTATCCTTATGACCTCCACAATGAAATCCACAAGACATAAGATATTACAAATAATAAGTTGGATTCATATAGTTTATAACTCAAAAACTCAAGGAACACATTCTTTGCAAATTAAAATTATTTAGAAACCATCACAATCATAGGTCAGTAATGTTATAGCCTTTCAGGAGCTTACTAACCATAGAACAAATCAACCTCGTACATATGTATAAAGAAAAAGCTTTCAACTTCCTAGACCTAAATTTATTTTCCATTCATTTTATTTTCAACAAGTAAATGATAACTGTATTGGTTAGTTTAATATCCATAGGAATGGGTGTATAGCAATGAATTTTATGTATAAAATTTCTAGGATTTATAATTTCAGCAAAGAAGAAATGACATAACACATCAATTATTTTCCCATAAAATTTCTTTTCAGGAGTTTAACCATTGTACAATTTTTTTACATTAAGTGGAGATTGATAATGGATTTTAAACTTTTGAACTCCCACTATTCACTAAAATGAGTATTTTTTTTTTTAATTTAATGGATCAACTAATAGTCCTTGGATCTTCCTACATAAGCTCAATACTTAAGAAAGAATGGGCCAAGTTAAACTTAACAAATAAAAGCACCATAAGTTTTAATTCTCCCAAATCATGAAGACTTACAAGAGTTCATTAACATAATTAAATGACATGAAAGAAAGTATTTAACATGGAGATAGCTCTTGGGTTTCCTTCTGGTATGAAGTACATTATGGTGATATGGCTTTGATGGTTGTTTCCCCATCCTTGTATCAGCTAGTCATGTACAACAAAGCAATACTAAGCACTAGAGGTGATGAAGGAGATTGTGTGAATCCACCATATTTACTAGCATCTTAATTAATGGAGACATATTTATTAGGCATACTTAAATAGATCCACCACTAGAACAGGTTAGACTCCTTACTTTGGAAGTTCCAATGGAACTTTCTTAGTCAAGAGATTTTGGAAACAATTACAGAAATTTCTACGTGAAGTCAATTTAGACAACTCTCCTTGGGAGAGAACAATTCCCTGTTGGATGGACCCCATCCCCGCCTACCTACAACATGAGCAGCTGTCGTCCGACAAGAATGAAGCAAGGAAGGTTTGATGATAGTTAGCCCATTATGCGTTGCTTGAAGACAAGCTATACAAAAGATCCTTCACTTTTCCTTACCTCAGATGCCTCCGATGAGAGGAGGGCAAGTACGTGCTCCGAGAAATCCATGAAGGCATCTACGACGTCCACTTGCGGGGTAGAGCTCTAGCACAAAAGACACTCAACTAGTGATACTTTTGGTCGACCATTCAGACGGATGCTATCGAGTTAGCACAAAAGTGTGACCGATTCTAGAGGCACTCTAACATCCTCCATCGACCTACAACGATCCTCTTGGCTCTTAGCAGCCCCTAGCCCTTTGCAAAATGAGGAATGTTAGAGTGCCTCGTTGTTGTAATATATTACTTCACCAAGTGGGTCAAAGATGAGCCCTTAGAAACCATCACAACTAAGACAATCCAAAATTTCTTCTAAAAGAATATCATTTGTTATTTTTATTTCTTTGCTAAGTAAAATTAAAATATTTAACTTTCCTTTGGGAACTATTTGAAAAATAAGGAATCGAACAAAGAAATGAAAAACAAATACTTAACAAAATAAGAAGTCAAAGAGACAAAGACTCGAAGTGAATAACAAATTGGAAGAAAATAAGAATTTTATTTCATTTAAATTTGAATGATACAAAGCATACAATATTGGTAGATGATATAATTACGAATTGAAAATAAAAATTACATTTAATTTAAATAAAATTAAAAAATACAATAATTTGAAAAAATGCTATACAACTATTGGTAGATGATATAATTACAATAATAATAAAATACTAGCATATTAATTATTAAATTAATAATAGATTAATTTTAAAATAATAAAACAAAAAATAGAATATTACTAAACTAAAAATAATAATAATACAATATAATAAAATAATAAATTATTCATAAAATTTAATAAAAAGTATTATTAAAGTAATAATAATAATCATAATAATACCAACAATAATAATGTACTAATAAAATAATAATTATATATTGATGAAATATTAAAAAAGTAATAATAAATTAAAAATAGACTAGTACAAAATTGAAAACTATCAATTGATTCCATTTCCATCACCAAATGAATCAAAGAATATCAACCAAAATCTGACTTCGATTCCTGATTAAACCAAACAAGTATCAGGAATAAGTGATTTCGATTCTAATTCCTAAGGTTTCCAATTCAAATCTTATATGCTAACCAAATGCACCCTTAGACTAGAAATCAGAAGACTTAAAAACTCTATGGCTCCATTTGGAAGGAGTACAAATACAAATATGTAGAGTGCAAAATCCTTGTAATATATATTATTTCATATGCATTTGTACTGTAGATATTTGCATTTGTACTCCTCCAAACTAAGCTCATACAACAAATGGCAATTTCTCATTGTGGGTCCCACGTATTGTACCATTGACATGCAGAACTTTCATTGGTTCCATAGCCTGCTGAACAACCATCTCATTCAGATAGTCCGTCCTAATTCAATTCCATTTGGGTCGAGTATTTGTGCAAGTTATTCAAGACCATGAAGAAATAGTACTATTAATTCTAATAAGAATAAATTTCTAGTTGTTACCTCCAATATGTCACCAATGTTCAATGTGAAAGCAAAATGGTTAAGCCCACAGAATTTGAGTGAGGTGTAATAGCGATGGCTCTATCTGGTTGGGGACATGGAGGATGGTAATTCATCCTCATTGATCGCATACCATCTTCAAACAATTCTCTCATCTCTCCAGCCTCCATCTTTAGAGATTTTTTCATCAGCTCTAGGACTATTTATTGTCATTCAAGGGAAGATGTTCTTAATGTGATAACAAAGATGTGGTCAGCAGATCCATGCTCATTTGTCACAATCTATTGCAAAGATGTTACATATTTGTAAAACGAGTTAATTCGGATTCAATCCTCACAAAATTTATACTCACACCGTATTGACAACACTTGCAGCCCTGTATTAGGAACATCTTCCCATGGACGAAAAATATAAGTACTGCGATATTCCAAATGCATGGCTGTAAGTGTTGTGAGGATGTTGTGGATACAAATTTTGTGAGTACTGAATCTGGTCTCAAAACGAGTTATCATCTGCTACCGCATGCTACCCAAAGATTCTACAGTTGGGTATCATGTGGGTATAAAATCAGGCCTCGTAAAAATGGCTGAAATTGGACTAAGAGAAAGAGAGTCTGGAATCGGAATCGGAATGAGCTATTCTGATTCTAACTTTTGATTGGGTGGAATTGGAATCCCATTCCTATTCCTGCTGGAATGACATTTCCCCATTTGAGGGAATGGCCATTCCCTACCCCTCCCTTGAGAATGAAATCCCATTCCTGCTAATTCAAATTCCGATTCCTTCATATTATAATTTTGAAATTACACAAAATTTGCAATAGTTTACTGAAATACTGTTACATGACATCAATATATGTAATTGTTTACTGAAATAACTAGATTTATTACATTTATTTAATTACATCCTTTCTACTCAATCCTCAGATTAATTTATAGGCAAATTAACCCAGCTATTGTTTGCTTTCTCCATTTTGAATCCTCATGACATCAATGTATGACTTCCCATCTAGTTTTCGAGCAAAGAGACCTTTGAAGTATTCCTCAGATGCAACTCTTCTGAACAATGCTGGGTTTCCTGAGCTGATCAGACTTGGTGCAGGTCCTATTTCTTTGTCAAAGTTCGGATTGCAGAATGTGGCAATTGAGAGCCTCTCTTTTACCGAGTTAACTGTTGCTTGATGTTCAATACTACGGTATGTTCCATTTGTAAAAATCTGTCACAAGAGACCATATAATAATTTAGCAAATTAAGCTAAAAAAATAAGATACTGTGCAACAAGTAGTAATTGGCAATTTCATCTGGGCCAAATAGTTGTGGCAAGCCCACTCAATAGGGGAAGAAATTCATCTTGTATAGGTTTTCTTACCTACTTTTTCTTTCAAACCAAACATAGCCTTAGGAGGTGCTCGCAATTTTTTAAAACAAAAACAACTGTTACATCAGTAAGATTATATTGTTTTTGCTAATGGCAGCTGTGTAATTTCATTTACAAAAACAAAACCAACTATATTGTGGAACACCCCCCCTTAATTGTCGTACCATTAATTCTCACAAGAATAAACATATAGTTATTACCTCCAAAATGTCACCGATGTTGATTATGAAAGCATTTGGAAGAGGTTTAACTGGAACCCACATCCCATCTTTCCTTACTTGGAGGCCTTCCATTTCGTTAACTTGAAGCAAAATGGTTAGACCCGAGGCGTCTGAATGAGGTGTAAGACCAATGGTTTTCTCTGGTTCTGGACATGGAGGATAGTAATTCATCCTCATTGATTGCATCCCATCTTCAAACAATTCTCTTATCTCTCCAACCTCCATCTTTAGAGCTTTTGCCATCAGCTCTAGAATATTCATGGCCAACCTTTTCATTTCTTGTGAGTAAGAATCCAATGTGTCTCTGTGCAAAAAAGTATTTTGGTTGTTGAAGATAATCTAGATGGATGAAGTACAACAAATAAAAATCGATAGAGAGAGAGAGAGAGAGAGAGACCTGAGAGGAAGGGGGAGTTTGGGAAATAAGTGTGGCTTCCTCCGATGGGTTGGAAGAGTCGACATGAAAAAAAGGTCTCCCCAATCAAGTTTTTGGTCCTCTGATACAACAAAAGCCTGCCCAAATCCCTCTATTTCGTTTTGGAGTTGCCAAAACTTCTTTTTCTCTTCTAGAGGGAGGTTGAAGAACTCTTGAATCTCCAACTTGGTTTTCTCCACCAGTGATGAACTTACTCCATGGTTTACCAACTGCAATATATTTAAATATCAGTCCCCTCGAATCACAGCATAATTAATACATGGTTTATTTACATAAGGATATTTTGTTAGTTAAGAGATTAGAGACCCTCATCAAAACCAGCCTATTTGCCATCATTCCCAAAAAGTGCAAATTTTGCATCAGATAAGGAGTACAAACCATAGTTATAAACAAATTAAACATAGCTGCAAACAAAAAAAGCCTAGTTTTCTTCTCCTCAAAAATCTTTGAAGGTCTCCCAATTCGTTTTTCAAAAGGGGTAGCTAGATTCTAGTACCAAATCTGTTCTCAATTAGTGCTGCTACTTCTTAGGCTTCACAGCAGCTATGTTTCTTGTGGGACTTTGGTTGCAAAATCAACATTTTTTTTTTTCCTTTTTCAATAAAAGAGAATAGGAAGAAGATGATAGTGAAGGTAAAACAGAAGCTTAGAGGTGAAGGGGAGACATACTTGGAAGAAACCCCAGTCTTTGCAAGCAGCATGCAACCTAGATAGCTCAGAATCCATGGACTCTTCAGAAAGTAAGCTTTGCATATCGATGACTGGAATCGTTGGAATTGAATCAGGATTAGAGATGATTGGAGGGTGTTGTGAACGTACATACCGAGGTGGAACTATGACAAGATGTTGTTTGGCCAACTCCTGGACGCAAGGTACCAAGATAGAGCTTCCCAATGTCCACTGTTTTGTTGCCATGATCATCAATTTGCTCATACGCAGAGAGGAACTGTTTTAGCCAACCTATAGATCTATTCCAATAATGGAAGAAATAGAAATCATAAATGAGGATTGTGATTGTCGTCGTCTGATCTCCAACCCCCTCGGGTACGTAGGCCATATTCATAATTATTTTGTCCATATTGGGCACTCTGGTGGCTGCCTTGTTCCAGTACTATTAATACACTATGGCCTGCAAACTCTGCATGTGGATTTAATTAAAATGGTCAATTAGTCATTGCCACAGGTTGGATTTGCCATTTGGTTGAATTTAAATGTATCATGCCTAATTATTCACATAGTTGGAATTTTTTAAATTGGGCATCAATCCTATTATTTAGGTGTCTATTCATATTGAAATATCTTCTGACAGATCTGATAAATAAAAGATATTGTAAGGTTTTGCATTAAGATTTTAAAAGCTTGAAGATGGTGCATTTTTTCGTATTTTGGGCATCAATCCTAACCCTTAATTGATGTCAAATTCACGAACATGATGTGATTTATAGGGGGAGAGAGCTAGTTGTAGGGGGGGCGGCTGGAATTCAGAATTTGCATCGTGTGTTTCCGTAGTTTCCCAATTAATAATTATATATGTTAGAAGAAGCTAACAAGCCGGTAGTTGAGATGTCATTTGGTATCATGGAAAAAGCTGCACGGATTCAAATTCACAGAAGTGCAGACTCACGTGGTATGGCGAATTGACACAAGCATGATGCACAATGCTTTGTAATTGATGCGAGCATCTTCTAATGAAATAAAACAATTTTCTGATTTATTGCTGGAAATTGGAGTATTATGGCAGAGTTCAAATTAAAAGGAGATTTTCTTCTAATAGATGTAACAAACGATTAAGACAGTAATCATAAAAGAACACTCCAAGTCTAAAAGATGGGTAAAACGTCTTTGTAAAAATACACTAATCACGTTTTACACTGAACAATGAAAATGACCGTTGCTTTTCTGAAAATAGTGATAGGTAGAAGAGTGTAAAGTTTTACATTGATAAAATTGATATAGTTTTTATATCGACTATTGATGTAAAACTTTAGAGTTGATGAGGTTTTACATCAATTATCAACGTAAAACTATACTCCATCCAAATGCATGCAAAACTGAACCGGAGTGTAGTTTTGCATCGATAATAATTACACCCTCTTTCCAAATGCATACAAAACCGAATTGATGTGAAATTTACTTAGGTTCTTGATTTGCATTGCATCCAAATGCAACCTTATGCTTTTGTGATTTTCATGGGTGTGCTGCCCCACATGACCACTCCTTGTGCCCTACATTTTAGGATTGCAACTAGGAATGGCAACGTGATGGGTTCGGGGCGGGGATCATATTTCCCATTCCTGACCTTGATTATAAAAGTAACCCCTATCCTTATTCTCAATCCCTATCAGGAACAAAATTTGTCCTCCATCCCCGATCCTCAACGGGGATGGGATTCCCATGGGGACCCGAATCCCCGAAATTTTTTTAGATAACAGTATTGTTTTGAAAAATAAATATACTTAAAATTAATAAAAAATTTAAATTATAAATAATTTTTTAAATATATTTTGATATATATAATATACATAATATAATAATATATATATAATATAAATAATATATATATATATACATAATTGGGGTCAGGGCAGGGCGGGGACCTCAATCACCATCCCCAACCCCAACCCCGATCTAGGATTTCTACTAATCCTCGTCCATGTCCCCGCCCTGCCAAAACAATCCTCATCCCTGCCCCCATCGGGTCGAGGAAGTCGGGTCCTTGTCGGGGATGGAAAAATTGCCATCCCTAGCTGCAACTTGGGTGCACCGGCGCTCAACTAGAGTTCTACCCAATCTAACCTGAGTTTTAGGGCTGTGGGTGGGTTTGGGGTGTGGGGCCAAAAGCTCAAACCCCCACTTAAATTTGGGTTGAGATAGCTTGGGTAGCCTAAAGCTGGATCAACCCACCAAACCTGCTTAAACAAATTCATACAAACATAGATTTATTTATATATAATGTCTTTTTTGTGATACAAGAAAGATATGGTACGGGAAGAATTTTGACCAATCAAAACTCACCCATGAATTTTGAGAAATAACACCTAATTGACTATCACGTTTATGATAGGCCAAAAAAATTTCAGATATCATAGTATATAAGGCCCTATTTGTTAACACTCTGGAGAATCAATTCTGGTGATTCTCTTGATTCTTTGGATGAGGTTGCCGTTTGGGAGTGAAATTTCCAAAAGTTGCCATTTTTAGATGGAAAATCTCATCCGGATAGCGATTTCTTAGAAGTTAAAAAATCTCGCTTCTGAGAATTGAGAATGCCATTCTCTTAATTCTCGCTATGTTGTTTTTTAATTAATGAATATCTGTTCACATTACACACAAGAGTGGGGGCAAAGTTGTAAATGTACTTTCATTTACTGCAAAGTTGTAAAGCCGATCGGATTTGAAAACCACATATTTTCCCAAATATTTTCCCAAATATTTTCTTTATTTTTTGTATATTTTATACTTTTATGTGTTCTCTCATTTTTCAATTTTATTATTTAATTATGACATCAAGGGTTTACACATTTGAGCCAAAAGGTTGAATTGTTAACTTGACACTAAACATGAAAGAACTCCATTTTTGGCTTGGTTTTAAATTTATAATTCATTTCTATTGTCTATAAAAATGATTATTCTTTGTGACACCCTTTTTAATATTAATATTAATTAGTATGATCAATCAATATAAGATTCAATGAAAAAATGGGTTAATACCACAAATGTAAGACTTAAATGAGAGTGATTTGAATGAGGAGAAATGTAGTCGTTTAAATTGCATTTTATGTCCCCCACAATTAGAGAGGGACCAAATACTAAAATAGGGGTATTCTAGTCAAGAATAGGAATCAATGAATGTTAATGAGAGTTAATACCTTAAATCTAAGACTTAAATGAGAGTGATTTGAATAAAAAGCAAATGGTTATTGAAATTATATTTCTATTCTTACAATGAGAGAGGGACCAAATTCAAAAATTGGGTATGTTTATCAAACAAAAGTTTCACACTTTTAATAGTAGTAAAGATATAGATACAGATTTGTATTTGTTTTCTCAATCATTTCCTATTAGGTTTAAGTTGCATGTTTCATGCTCATCAACAAATATATAATAAGAGAAATATGTCCAAAATTTTCAAAATTTCTTTATTTTCTTTATTTTTTGTTTTTTTTTTTATATTTCTAAATTTGTATTATTTATTTATGACATTATAAAATCAATCCTCCTCACTACTTGTTCTTTTAACATGTGCCAGAGAGCCCCAAATCTTCAAGTGTCTTACACTTGGTTTCTTACCGGTCCAAAGCTCAAAGGGAGTCTTCGGAACTGATTTGGTTGGAACCTGATTTAGCACGTAAATCGCAGTCTCTAATGTATAACCCCAAAAGGATGTGGGTAACTCTGAATGTACGAGAAGTGATCGGACCATATCCAATAAAGTCCGGTTCCTCCTCTCTGAGACACCGTTTAGCTGTGGTGTAGTAGGAGGAGCTAGTTGTGATACTATCCCGTTGACGTTCAAGTAGTCCTTGAATTCGTCAGAGAGATACTCGCCACCTCAATCCGATTGAGGGGTCTTAATTCTCTCCCCAACTGCTTCTCGACCTCTTGTCTGAACTCTTTGAACTTTTCAAAAGATTCAGACTTGTGTCTCATTAGGTACATGTAACCATACCGAGAATAATCATCGGTAAATGTTATAAGTAAATGTGCTGGTTATGTGTCCTAACACTCATGGGACCACATACATCAGTATGTATAAGATCAAGCATGTCTGTACATCTTTCAGGCTCACTGTTAAATGGTCGTTTCATCATCTTACCCTAAAGGCAAGGTTCACAGGTTGGAAGATCTTCTACAGTTATAAAATCCAAAGGACCATCCTTTACCAACCTTGTGATTCGATCTATGTTGATATGGCCAGGTTGGTAATACCACATGCACGTGGGATTAACTATATCACGGGTTCTTTTTTTGGCGATGTCACCCGACGTATTTTCGGTTATGTTAGTTTCCAAAGAAGGATGGAGAACATAGAAACCATTCTCAAGTTCTCCGTATGCGAGGAATTTGTTATTTCTTTTAATAGTCATCGTATTACTAAAGAAGACAGAATATCCATTCGCACACAATTTTGAAACAGAAATCAAATTTCTTCTCAAATTTTGTACATAAAGACAATCTTTCAGTACACTGATTCCTTCTCTGAAAATTAACTCTACAGTTCCTATGGTTGTAGCTGCAACACTTGCAGAAGTCCCCAAGAAAAGAATCACCTCTCCGTCACTCAGTCTTCTGCTTATCCTGAACCCCTGCAGTGAGTTACACGCATGAGTCGATGCCCCGAAGTCAATACACCAGGAAGCAGAAGTTACCAACAAATTGGTTTCTATGATACAGGATTCGAAATTACCTTATCTCTTGAATTCCAGGTACTGAGGACAATTCCTCTTCCAATGGCCAGCTTGGGCCCTTAAGTTTGTTGTCGTCCAACAACTTTGCGAATTGTCCATTTGCCATTTTTGATAAAAAACAAATATTAGTCCACAACCTAATTTGATTCATGTTATCTACATAGATATGGCTTTTAATCTATGTTCCATTTCCATTTATTCATCTTCTAGATTTCCCTCCTATCTCAGTGGCGGAGACTATGAATTATGTCTCTGGAAATGTGGGAAATCACATAGGGTGCATGAAGCCAACTGTTTCAACTGCATAACCCCACCACCTTTCTGTGAAGGATCATAT